TACTTTCATATACAGATTCTCCTTCAACACCTAAAACATTTTTAAGCTGAACTGTTATCATAGATTTGCCAATTTAAGATTAATCTAGAAACTCAAAACTCTTAATATGAAATGTAAAAATAGCTGTTCTAAGTAGCAATGCAAAATAATGAGAGGGATATGCTAAGGTGTTATTCCATCATAAAATTAATGCCAGAGATTCTTTTGCATTTATTGAATAAAAAAAAATACATGATTATTTAAGAGGTAGCTTCACTTGTTTCAACTGAATGCATGCACATGTAAAATATTTCCATAAATGAAGTGACAATTACTTCTCTTTTACCAGGACACAAAATTCACATATACTTTCTTCAGAATTTTATTTTTTATTTTTACTTATTTGTTTATTTGAATGTCCATCTCAGTTTCAGATGCATTACGTTTAAAAAAAAAAAACATTTCAGAGGAATATAAGTTGCATCTTGAGATTAAGCTTTTGTGTATACTAATTTAATATTAAAATTTCGTATGCTTTTATTACATGAAATTTAAGTCAAATAGCTATAAAAATGTGGAATTTTTTTCACGTATATTTTTATTCTTTTGAGATATTCTGATATATACAAGATGATTCAAAAAGCACTTGACAAAATATTGTTGTTACTTATGCTCACTTGTCTGACAGTAGCATCAGCCCAAGCCCACAAAATTCCTCATGGCAAGAAGTGCAAATTTTATGCGTGTTGTTGACAACAGCTTTGAGCACGATGACAGTGTGATTTAGTTCAGTTCCGCCATCATTTACAAACATCCAGGCTTTCTCCGGGATTCGAATTCAGGCTCTTCGGCACAGTCGGGACCAAAATTAGGAAAATTTGTAATGGAACGTGTGTGCCAAAATGATACATTGAGTGGTTGGTAAAAGCATTCTGCTTGTGTAAATCACTATTCCCGTGCAATTTTCGAGTCGTATGCATCGCTATGTGAATCTCGTTAACATGCACTTTTCTATGAAGCTTCAGACAGAAACGGGGCAGTTGCTCAAAAGAAGTACTTGGGAATTGTTCTCTATAATTCTATTGAGTGGCTGCTCCCTTTTAGCTACAGCACCATAGATAAAATGCATGTTGGTGAGCTCAACACTCATATAGCATTGAATATTCATAAAAATTTCCGTATTGAAATAATAATTTATGCCATCAGAACACTCTTACTTATCACACAACGGTGCCCTGTACTGCCTCAATGCACCATTTCGGTGCAAATATTTTATTACTTAATTTCGTTACCCTCTAATTGCCTTTACATTCCTGTTGGATATTTTTCAATCACTGTCTATGGCTTGCATAAGATATTAAAATACATTTTATTTAAAAACATGAGAAAACTAGTAGGATTTGATTATTTAAATATCAATTTGCAGTAAAATCATACTGGATTTGATTACAATATTATTAGTAAATATCTTAAGAAATATAGCCACAAAATTTCATTTCTCAGAAAGTTTTAAACTTTAGTTTTTAGTCCAAAGAAATATTTTAAATTTATACTAATAATGTTACAAGTTATTTCAGTTATAATACTGAATTCCGCCAGTGTTTTCTAGAAGATGAATTTTGTAAGATTCTGTGAATACGATCTTTTTTTTTTTTTTTTTTTAAATATATTTATCAATATTTTTTAGTCCAAAGGGACTTTGTCCCTGAAAGACTATTGTTTTCGTTTTGCGTTGAATCACTATAAATGTCCGTTCCACTTTTTAAACTGTTGCCACCAAATGTTAAGAGTCCTGCATTATATTTGAAGAAATTAAATAGTTGAAAAATCTGCATAAATGTATGTATATTTCTCGCATTGTGATAAAACAACGGTACATAGAGCCATCGGATTTTGAATGACTTAATCCTCCTACAAATATGAGCATGTGGAAGACCAAATTTGAAATTTAGAATTTGTTTTATTATCGGTTTCATATTTTGTAAAACTTTAATGAATTTTCGAGTAACATTTTCAATGATTTAAAAGCGAGCAATGGCAACACTCTACGGGGGGGGGGGGGGGAACCTTTTTATCTCCAGCGGCGCGGAACTGTGTATCGGAAATTCTAAAGATATGCTCATTTTAAAATTATTTTGCAACATTGCTACTGAACTGAATTTTATGTTTTAAGTGCAAAGAACATGATATTTAATAAATAAAGGTAACACACAAAACGTTACGCCCTTTGGATGAAATCTGAAACCTTCCAGTTTTTTATTATTATTATTATTATTATTATTATTTTTTAATGTGTGTGTGTTTGAATTGTACTAAATATTTTCCTTGCAAGTAACATATTTATACTTTTAATATACTTATGTTTATTTATTCAAAAATATATATAAACTGCATTCATTAAAACAATGCAACTATCTAAAAAGGTAAAATATTTAATATTAATTTAATTACATATTTACCGCATACACTCGTGTAATGTCCGCACCCCAACTTTACAGATAAAATTTATGTAAAAAAAAGTGACCCGCACAATGTCCGCGCCCCAAAAAACAAAAGAATTTTTTACTTTAAAATATATTTTTCTAACATCGCATTTTTCCCTTTAGTCAATAAACATCCTTAAAAAAACAATATGCATTTGTTTTATATTTGATTGGCGCCAGGGTGGAAAGCAGAGACTCCTTGCATTCCGGTGCAGCTGTTATTCAGTCATAACGTCGGTGCTAGCAATCCACTAGGTAGACGCGATAATAAATGAAGGCAGTCTAAACAGGTTTTCACTGGCTTCCAGAAAATACTGTTTTGTAATGAAATTACTTTCTTCTCCTTCCTCCTTGGAGTATTCGCATATTTCAAGCTTTCTCTTTTCATTCATAGTATCATTTGGAATTCGTGATTGTTAGCAAGTAGCATGCTTGAAATGGGAAAATACAGCGGCTTTTAAGTCGCTGTATAGCTGCTATCGTAGACTTTGTGCAAGAAAAGGGAAAAAGAGCAGCAGCAAGAGTATATAAGGTGGAAGAAAAGTGTGTGCGCAAATGGAGCAAACAGCTTGATCAACTGGGCGGCAACGAACAAAACAAGACGTGTGTTTCGTGATTCGAAATGTAAGTTTCGAACTTAGGAAAAAAAGTAGTTGCGTATGTTCGTAATATGAATGCTCAAGGGTACGTAGTAACACGGGATATGTGCCAAACAAGAACGCTTCCTACATCACAATTCAAGGCGGTTGAAGACGAAACGAAATGGGTTTTCATACAGTGCGTCAGAACGTTTTTTTTTTTTTTTTAATAATGTGTACAAGATATTAAAAGAACCAACGTTTATTTAGCGTGTGCAGAACTAAATATTAAAATCACAACTGTTGTTAATTTGTGCCTCTATATTGTGCTCCTGTGCGAACTAATACGTTTCCCAAGTGTTGATAACGTAAACGGAGTAATTTATATTACAGTCAAAAGTCGTTAATTCGGACACCCATAATCCGGACCTCAAAGCTACAACCTTTCTGCGCATGCGCCACGCACGTAAGACCTTTACCGCTGCGAATTTGCGTGTGCGCGTGCACAAAATACGTTTACAAATGCGTGTTTAATGTATAACGGACGGATACGCTAAGCTAAAATTATCTAATTATCTATTTCAGTTAATGTTGCAGATTGCGTTGTTCCTTAATCTTCGAATTGGATCCGGATTATTATTTTTTGCAGACTGTTAGAGCAATTTTATAAAAGTAAGCTTGAACTTTCGATTATGTCAAATAGAATTTTCGATATATATTTACTAATATGTAAAGGATATAGAAAGTGAAAGTATCTTTCGGAGTCCATTACACAAAAAGTGGAATTGCTGCAAAAAAATGGATAAAGGCATATATTTTGTTTATCTAAACTTTAACGTTTGTTTATCTAAACTTTGTTTATCTTTAGCGCGGCGGCAGTGTGCAATGAATTCACTATCCTTATCTTAAGGGCAGATGTTTTTATTTTATTTGGCTTATAATTGCTTACTCAATGTAGTATTTCATCTCGATGTACTCCATCTTTGATATGATTTAAATCAAATGCCTCATCATTATAATTCGCTTCCGATAGCGAAGAAAGTGACAGAGGTTATTGAAAACGAAAAAATTTCCATTTCGACACAGCAATTATAGGACGTGAACAGCGGAACTTTGTAACTGAACAAGAAGTTATGTCTGTTTATAGAATTAAAGAGAATGTATTATCACATAAAAAAACGAATCAACTTAAACAACTTACATTGAAAGAAATGTTTAATAAAGTAAACAAATAAATATTAAGCTTTTTTTTGTAAATTTTGATACCCTTTAGATCATAATTGTTCTTTATTTTGTAAATTACGGTTTTATATTTTTAATTTTATAATTTCTGCATGCCATTTTACCAGATTTAAACTGATGATCTATAATCCGGAAAAATCGATAATCCGGAATCGCCGAAGTCCCGACGAGTACGGATTAACGACTTTTGACTGTATATATATGAGGATGGGAGAAAGTGAGTTTGTAAATTTTAGGTAGCAATTAGACAACTTTCAATTTGATACTTTTATTACTTATGCCATTTTCTTCTACTTAGAACTTAACTTGGCTGTTTGAAATGAAATTTACACCAAAGATTACTCACGAGAAAAAGCGCGACGTTTGAACGACCCATCTAATGTCCGCACCTGCATTTTAGTAATGTAATTTTAATTAAAGAAGTGCAGACATTATGTGAGCGTATACGGTAGTTCTAAATCTTCTAAAATTGTCTTTAAGGTAAAATATTTTACATGTTTTGTGTTATAATCTTACTTTCATTTTCTATATTAAATCGTTAATTTTTAAAAATAAAACATGTCTTTTTGTATTACGATTTATAATTTCTGAATGAAAATTATATTTAAGACAAATTTTTCTTCATTTATATTTTGATGAAAAAATTATGTCATCATAAAATATCATTTATTAAATTAAAAGAATTTTTTTAATTTATTTTTATTTTATTTTGTTCTTTTTTTTATCAGGTGCAGTATCATGGCAGATCTAGTTAATGGTGAGACTGAATCTCTGCTGTCTCAGAAAACACATTTTCATGCAGATTCTGTTGAATGGTGCCCTTTTGGGGGTTATTCTGAATTCTTTGTATGTGGTACTTACCAGCTAGATGAAGTAAGTATTGATTTTTTTTTAAAATAAATAGTATACACCTTGTACATATACACACACAAAAGAAGGACAATTCTGTATGTCCCCCCCCCCCCGTTCTACTGGACCGACTGTCGAAATTTAACTTGCCTTTTCCATGTCTCGAAAGCGAAACTTAGGATATATATTAGATTTATATATAGCATTATTCCAACATGGGCATTTTGACACAAAATTGGACTTTTTCTGAAATAAAATATTTTTTTTCACATATTTCGATTCTGCGACACAAATTATGCCTAAATTTTGTAATTTTTGGTGAGAAATTTTAAAATTTATCTTGGCGCATTTCTTTCAGTGTGCACCAAGAACTTCATAATTTGTAGCAAACTATTTTCGTTTTTTTCTTTTCATTGTACATGACCGGAAAAAAGGTCGTTACTTTCAAAGTAATTTTAATAAAGTGCACAAACCACATTTGGCGTTATTATACTTATCTCAAATATGCCAAAATTTCAAACCGCGTCAATATGTAAAATCATGTATATCTTAGGAAATTTTGAATAAAAAACTTTAATTTTTTGCAGGTATGCTTAGATATACATCTAACTTTAAGATGATGTTAAAAAGTTTTATAGGTTATAATTAAAAAAAATTTCGAAAAATTAAACAAAAATTTAAATACAAATTTTAAAAACAAATCATAAAAAATGGGCGAATTTTATTTGGGGTGAACCTAAATTTTGAAATGTGAAATGTAGAATCAAATAAGTTATAGGGTATTTTTCCCACCTTCTTAGTGAGCCTCCGTGGTGTAGTGGTCAGCACGCTCAGCTTGTAATTGAGAGCTACGCGGTTCGATTCCCGACGAAGGCGTGGCTAAATTTTCATCTTTCCTGCTTCCAAAAAAATACCTAATGTCTCTATAAATTTTAATTAAAAAAGATATTAATAAATATGTACCAAATTCAATTAACATGGAGTAACTAATTTTTTAAAAACTACTCGTGCGATTTTTTAAAAACTTGGCACTTTGGCATAATTTGAGTTGTAAAATCGAAATATGGAAAAAAAATAGTATGTTATTTCACAAAAAGTCCGATTTGGTGTCAAAATACCTATGTTAGGACAATGCTATACAGTCAAAAGTCGTTAATCCGGACTCGTCGGGACTTCGGCGATTCCGGATTATCGATTTTTCCGGATTATAGATCATCAGTTTAAATCTGGTAGGATGGCATGCAGAAATTACAAAATTAAAAATATGAAACCGTAATTTATGAAATAAAGAACAATTATGATCTAAAGGGTATCAAAATTTACAAAAAGAAAAAGCTTAATATTTATTTGTTTACTTTATTAAACATTTCCTTCAATGTAAGTTGCTTCGTTTCATGTGATAATACTTTCTCTTTAATTCTATTAAACAGACATAATTTCTTGTTTAGTTACAAAGTTCCGCTGTTCAAGTCCTATAATTGCTGTGTTGAGAATACCGACTAATTTGTCAATCGAAATGTTTTCGTTTTCAATAACCTCTGGGTCACTTTCTTCACTATCGGAAGCGAATTATAATGACGAGGAACTGGATTTAAATCATATCAAAGACGGAGTACATCGAGATTAAATACTACACTTAGTACGGAATTATAAACCAAATAAAATAAAAACATCTGCCCTGAAGATAAGGATAGTGCTGACAGATCAACTTCCAATCCGCCGCGTGAAATTGATAAACAGATTTCGGATTTCAAAACATACTTTCGCTTTGTAGATACAAATTACATATTAGTAAATATATATATCGGAAATTCTATTTGACATAATCTTTCTAATCTATCATAATCTAATAATGACGTTTCTGCCCCCCCCCTCTGCCGCAGAGCAGCGTGAAAATGATAAACAGATTTCGGATTTCAAAACATACTTTCGCTTTGTAGTAAATATATATCGGAAATTCTATTTGACATAATCGAAAGTTCAAGCTTACTTTTATAAAATTTCTCTAACAGTCTGCAAAAAATAATAAGCCGGATCCAATTCGAAGATTAAGGAACAACGCAATCTGCAACATTTACTGAATTAGATAACTTTAGCTTAGCGTATAACTCCGTTACACATTAAACACGCGCATGCGCACAACATATTCGCAGCCGTAAGGGTCTTACGCGCCTCTCGTAAACGCCTGTGCGCATGCGTGAACGCGACGCATGCGCAGAAAGTTTGTAGTTTTGAGGTCCGGATTATAGATCATTCCAGATTATGGGTGTCCGAATTAACGACTTTTGACTGTATATCAATGTAATATATAGCCTAAGTCGCTTTTTTGATACATGGAAAACGCAAGTTAAATTTCGTTAATCGTTCCAGCAGAACTGGAGATATAGAACTATGCCCTTTTGTGTGTATGTGTGTGCAAGGTGTACAAAAAAGTGAAATTTTTAAGCAATTGGATCAGAAAACCCTGATGTAAATTTTTAAATTTAGGATCATTCCATGTCTGAAGATGAACAGATTAGGCAAGGGAATATAACTCTGTACAGAATTGCAATGGATCGTTCAATAGAAAACTTCTGTCTCACTGAGATAAGTGTGATAGATACAGGTGGTATATTAGATATAAAATGGTGCCCACAGTTTATGAGTAATAGTGCTGTGTTTGCTGCTGCTTGCAGTGATGGTCAGATACGGCTGCTGAAAATGTGTAACGAAAATGAGTTGATGACCTTATCTCCTCTATGTAGCCAAAACCTTGCAACTGTAAAGGGAAAAATGTTGTTATCCATTGACTGGTCAAATGAAAATGAAAGGCAAGTTAAAATTTGTCGCATTTACTTTACATACATTCTGCAAAGATAATTATTTCCCCCAGCTTAATTTAAGTAATGATGTTGTTATCTTATTTCATGTATGCATTTGTAGTCTTTTTAGAAAATATAATAATTTTGCATGTTCATAACGTAAATAATTCAAGCAACTGTTAATTTATAACTGAATGATGATATAATCGTTAGTATTGATTCATTACTCATTGGAAAATTAATTGGTGAAATTAAAAAAAATCTAACATTAAATTAATATATTCATTGTACAGACTTGCATTCAAATAATCATATTAATGTTTTAAATTAAATTTTGTATTTTGATTTATTTATGAGGCTTATGGAGGAAAATACTATGTCTGCAAAGTAACGTAAATGTTCATACAAATTTAGCTACTATATATTTTCACCTTTTCCATTGCTTTACAGTTTTTGGTTGTGACCAGGTTGTTTGCAATCAGAAATTTGGTTCTGTGAATGAAACTGATAGATATTTACTCCAAATACTTTTGGGAAGCATTTTATAAAACAAAATAAATATGTTTTTTTCTGTCTTCGTCAGTAAATGATGACCTATTAATGTAGTTCTTTTGTTATTTAGATCTTGGGGAATTATAACATCAGACACTTTTGGATGTTTAAATTATTTGCATGTGAAAGGAGGAGAACTGATTTTACAGGAAACATGGAAGGCTCACGACTTTGAATCATGGATAGCTTCTTTTGATTATAATCAATCACATGTAGTATTTTCAGGTTATTTTTCATATTTGTGCTTTTTTTATTTGCTTGTTTCAAAATATAACAATATTTAGGGGATCTTCAGTACAGTGTTATGCTTTAAAAACAGTGAAAAGCTATTTTAATTAAATTTATATATATTTTATTTGAAATCAATGCATGTACTGTGTCTTTTTATATATACAAATGATTAAGAAAAGTAAGTAAACTCTTAACCTCATTTAATTTGTATTTGAAATTAATTTTTCAAATTGTAACTGTTCATCAAATGACAGCATTTAGTAAAAATATATAATTTTAATTTTTATACAGGTTTTTCTACAAAAAAAGAAAAATTCCTAATAAATAAATTACTTTTTAGCTTATTTAATTTTTTTAACATAAACTATTCTGAAAATCAGCAAGTTATGAAAATTATATAACATAAATTATTTTCTCTCCCCAGTGAAAAGCTGAAACGTCACTTTCAATGAGCGTTTTAAAATATTACTTCTATTAGGTTATGAAAAATTTAGATTTAGCATTTCTGTTTATGAGATGTTGAAATCTGCACGTATCTTCATGCATGGATGCTATAAGCAGAATTTATATTCTGACTTTCAGTTACCTATTGAAAACTTTAATTAGCAATATCTCAGTTAAATTTAATTTTTCCCAGCCAAATTCATATCTTTTCTTAAATTGAAAATACTGAAATTATTTCTTTAATTGAACAATCATTGATGGTATACAGCCAAACTTCTCATTAGCGGACACTAACAGAGGTTAAGCTTTTTGTTCATTTTTACGGATTATTTATTCAAGGAAGCAAATTTTCATCCTATTTCCTAGTTCAGGTCTCGTCCAGTAGTGGTAAGTGTTCATTTTAATGGAGGTTTGACTGTATTTAGATTTTAAGTCTTTTTAAAAATCTTGTTAAGTGATATGTATACTTTATTAATTTCTGTTATAGATTTATTATATGTAAATTAACTTATTAAAAGGTGGTGATGATTGTTGCCTAAAATGTTGGGATATGAGAAGTTTAACATCACCGATTTTCACGAGTAAAAGGTTTGTTATAAGTGAATTTTATTTCTATTTCTCAGATTTCTTTGTTGTAGAAAAAGCATACTAAAAGCTTCTTCATTATTATTTAAATTAGAAATTTAGCTGTCTAAAAATTACTTTTATAGGCATTCCATGGGTGTTACTGCTATCTCAAAAAGTAAAAGAAAACAATATTTACTAGCTACGGGAAGGTATACTATTAATTTGTATTTCTTTATTCATTCAGTTTTATTCATAAAAATGTAAAAGTATCTCTGTGGACATGTAAACAAAGTTGAACACATGTATTTTTTTTAAATTATAAATTTGTATAATTAGTTATTTGATGAACACTAATGACGTAATTTTATTCTCAGTGTATGAAATGTGTTATTTGAAGAAAAAAAAAAAAAAAAAAGTTATAATATTATGTATTTCTGAGTTAAAATAATACAGTTAATACCTATATCTTCTTTGTAACCCCTATCATTTCTTATTCTTATCACCTCTCAATGAATAATACAGTACAAAGTCCAAAATCCGGACTCGTCCGGGACTTTGGCGATTCCGGATTTGGGATTTTTATGGATATTAGATCATCAGTTTAACGCTTGTAAAATGGCACGTAGAATTTATAAATTAGAAATATAAAATCTAAATTTATGAAATAATGAAGCATTTATGTGGTAACAAAATTTATGATCTAAAGGGTAACAAAGTTTATATAAAAAAAAGCTTAATATTTATTTGTTTACTTTAATAAACATTTATTTAAATGTAAGTTATTTATTTATTTATTGGTGCTAATACTATTATCTCCTTACTTCTATAGACAGAGTTACAAAGTTCCATTGTTCCATTGTTCAAGTCCTGTAATTGCTGTGTCGAGAATTCCGACTAACTTGTCAATCAAAATTTTTTTCATTTCCAATAACCTGTCTTCACTTTCTTCACTATTGGTAGCGTATTTTCTGGATCTAGAACCATAGTACAGATATCGCCGTCCGTTAATTGATTGTTAAATTGGAGCAGTGTCATCGTAATGGAAAACTTCTGGTATATCATCTTCATCTCCTCATCCTGTACCGCTTCTCGACATTTCTTTAAAAATTCCACTAATTGGAAAATTTAACTTTGGTTTGCGACATCCGAAAACTTTCATATTCGCGGCTGTCATATTCATCAAGCTCATCACGAAATATGCTAGCTGGCCATAAATTACTCCAAGCATTTTTTAAAGTATCTGGAGACACATCCTCCCACAAAGCAGATTTTACGCTAAAATATTTGGAAAACCCTTGAATAGTCTTGCCATTATTCAAGAAATTTAACATGGATTTTAAAAATTCTACTTTATATTTCCATTTCAGCGCACTCACTATTCCGATATCCGATTCTGAATGATTGACGTACAATTTGGAGGAAAGAATAGTACAGATAGATACATTATCTTTCACTAAAACGTTAAGTGAAGTATGAGTCAAACAGTTGTCTACAATCAGGATAATTTTTGCGTTATGCCGAGCCTCGGGTATGAAATTATTTTCAAACCAATCTTTCATTAATACTTGTGTCATCCATGTTCTTTTATTTGCAGGATATATAACGAGAAAGGTCTTTACTTCTTTAAATGCTCGAGGTCGTGTATTTTTCCCAATTACGAAATGTTTACATTTGTGCATTCCTGCCGCATTTGAGCATGAAGAAATTGCTAAGTTTAGCTTTGGAATCTTTGACACGAGTTGGAGCCTTTTCTATAGAGGTTGTCAAGGTATTTTACCGTACATGTTGTCAAAAAAGACCAGTTTCATCAGCTTTGTAAATTTCTTCTGGAGATAACTTTTAACTACTGATGAGTTCAATGAATTCATCTGCAAATATTTCAGCAGCTTCAGTATAAGCTGAAGCTTTTTCACCCTAAATTCTTAATTGTCTTATACCATGGCGATTTTTAAATTTGGTTAACCAACTTGTGGAATATGTGCACACAGTTTTTAAGTTCATTTCTTAGTGAAATATTTTAGCTTGCACCATTAGCATTTGACACGTCAATGGCACGCCCTCGCTGCGACGCTGTCTAATACATTCAAGTATCACTTTGTTATGTTTCAGCATAACGAATAATTTTTCTGTTATTTGTTGCCAGCGGGGTGTCGGAATCCACAAAAAATTCAAAAAGTTCCCTTTTTTTTTTCTTATGTCATGTACAGTTGCCTTTACAATGCCATAGTCCTCGCATAATTTTGAGATGAATGTACCTTTATCCATTTTTTGCAGCAATTCCACATTTTGTTTAATGAACATCAAAACATGCTTACGCTTTGTAGGTCCTGTTGCAGCTCCAGAATTAGAAACTCTTTTTGACATGATCGAGAGTTGAAACTGTAATTTTCATCAAACTGCTGTAATAAAAACTGTCTTCAAAAAACAATTGAGCTGGATCAAATCAAAAAGTTAAGGAACAGCACAATCTACTATATTGGCTGAAATTCCTTGGAATCAGTAAAGCATAATTTTAGTCTAGTTTAATAGCATCTGCTATACATTATATGGCTATGTATCATGATATTGGCGACGAAAGACAAGTTGTTCCGCTAAATTTTGTCTTGCTTCTATCGCGCACTGAGGCAATTAAGCCTGGTTTTGTTTTAGTTATTTATTATACTTACGTCTATTTCTTGCACTTGCTTAAGGCTTATCTGGATCCTGAATGAGTAAATTCCCACATATACTTAAGGCTTATTGAGTGCCGGCGTCGATACCGACTGATGCAGCCTCTGCGGGTCCTAAATTCTGCTAGGACCTCCCTAAGTTCTAAATTTTGGATTCCAGTGCTTTCCCTAAATTTTAAAAATTATTTTCATCCGTTAATTTTGTTTTTTGTGCTCTCTGAATTCCAGGAATCTTGTCTTGCCTAAATTCTGCTGCCCGATGTGGCCATACAAGCTCTGAAGCCGGTTCTGGGTTTATGTGAAAAACAAATCAGTTATTCTTAATTCAAATAGCACTAAATGTAATCTTTTAGCCTATGAGTATCATTAACAAAATCTATTTTTAGAGTATGGTAAGAAATGTTTTGTTAAATAGTTCCACTTCAGTATTTCCTAGCGCATTTAACTTTAAATCTGTAATCACTGCCAAGAGTAAGAATGTCAATATAAAAGGTTACTTTTACTCATCGTACTAATATAAAATATTATTAATATAAAAAAATTGTTTGAGCATGGCTGCTCGAGTGGTCATGTGTTGATAAACATGCAGTGATGAAAGCAAAATATAATAAATAATGATTCGCCAGGTTGGCGTCAGGAGTATAAAATACTAGTAGGGCATAAAATTAACGATGTTTCTATCTAGAATGTTTCGGTTTGAGATGTATGGCAAACAAATACACAGCTATGGAACCAAATTATTGATCACAGAAATTTCTGCTAAATTATTGTTTCTTCAATAACGAAGTATTTATTTAGCGCTTTAGTATCGAAGAGAAATTAAGAATCGGGATTCTACACATGTTTGATCTGCGGCGGAGTAGGGGGGAATCAAATGCGCATGCATAAAACATTTTTTAAAAAAAGTTGTCGGTTTTGAGGTCCAGATTTTAGATCATTCCGGATATTGGACAACCGGATCTCGGACTTATAAATACAGTCCGGTTCTCCCCCCATAAAAAACAGGACCTTTCTATTTAATTGAATACCCAAATCATCGTATTTTGAGCTATTTTATTTCACTAGTTCTTGGGAGTTAAATGTACTAGCTTCGTGTGATTTTCATGGTTTTTCCATTTGTGACATTAATGCAATGGTTTACGAATTATACTAAAATGTAAAAATTTTTAGAATTACTCATTAAAAGGAATTTAGGGATATTACACTCTTTAAAGAATAATTTTAATTTTGCAGTTAATTTTCTGTATAAAATTCTTTATCAAGTCATTCCTTTCATAAGCAAATAATACTGAAATGTTTTAGCATGATTAATTAACCACCTAAACATCTTTAAAAATTCTTTGTAATGGATATCTCTTTTTCATTGTTTAATAGCCTTTTCAAGAAATGCATTAGGTTTCTTTTCAGGAAAAATCAGAACAAATACATTTAAAAGGAAATATATATATACTTAAAAATATTTTAATGTTTAAGCTTATATAGAGCATCATTATATGCAGTCTCTTACCAGTCCCTTGGCAAATACATGATTCCAACCTCATCTTAAGAGGTTCTACATGAGGATAGTTTCAAAGACTGTAATTTCCTGTAAAGAGGTGATGAAAGGATTGCTCTTTGTGTTTGAGGAGTCTTCTTTGTGTTTGAGGAGATAATTGTCCCACCCATCTATCTGCATATAATTTACCAAACAAACTGAGTACTCTAATTTAAACTCCTGAACTTCTCTTGCACTTTGGCAGCTGAGGATATGGTTCAGTAAACCATCGAAACTAATCCTGTGAAAATTTGCAAAAACAGGGTTCGTAGCAGTCCTTACAAGTGCTTAAGTCCTTATATTTGAAAATAAAATATAAAGGCCCTTATAGGTGCTTACTTTTTCTTTAAAAACCCTTATTTTTTGTTTTTAGTGCTTAGTTTTTTGCTTTTAGTGCTTTTTTTTTAATCCTTTATTTTTTAATAAACGCGCATTTTTTTCCCGTACCAAAGCCGAAACTACGAGTGAATAAACAACTTTTCTTCCTTATATGCAACGTCAGATGGTGAATCATACTCCTGGAAATTGCTTTCCCCCCTTTCTCTGCATTAACGTAACCTATGGTGCGCGCGAGAGTACAGACAGGTGCACGTCGTTCTATCGGTCAAAGAATTGCGAAAACGGTAGAAAATTCCGGTACATTCGGTATTCTTTTCCTCCCATCCAAATACTACACACGTTTGGATTTCTATCAAGATTTTAATAATTTTCATTCTCGTTCCGCGTGGTCAGTTCATATTCGTGTTTATTATGATCGTTATGCTTTTATTATGAGCATATGCATGAATATTTATAATAATATAGTTGCAGTAACTGCTGAAGTATAGATGAACTTCCAAAAATGGGTGTGCTTTTACACAGAATTAGATTTCTAAGGAATAATATTCGGAATGGCTTAAATAAAAGTAAAGTAATCGAATAGTCAAAATATTTTTTTTGTCTTTTTTGCCTATACATTACACAGTACGGAGGTTGACAGGTTTTCCCCTTTCTCCGCAAAATCTCT